TGGGATTGCCGCCAAGCCCAGCCTGTCCCGCTGCCACCACCATGACGGTGAGCCTGCTGCCCCTCCACACACCACTTGGAGGGATGCCACTTGGGTGGCGCAGCCTGGGCTGGAAGCAGCTGAGCCCTGGGATGGGGATGCTGGGATGGGGTCTAGCATCCCAAAGCTGGGGGTGGGGGCGGCAGCTGCACCTGCTCCTCAGAGCTCTGGCATGGGTGTCGGGCTGAAGAGCTAGCCTCTCTGGGCTTCATTTTCCCCCTCTACGGAGGGAGGGCTGTACCCCATCTTTCCCGAGGGAACAAGGAAAGCTGGGGTGGAAGCGAGGTACCCTTGCCCTGGGCACCCCTAACCACCCACCTGCCTGTTTCCCCAGCTCCTCCCTGGCCTCCTGTTTCTGACCTGGCTGCACACATGCCTGGCCCACCACAACCCCTCCCTCAGGGGGCACCCCCACACTCATGGGACCCCACGCTGCTACTCAGCCGAGGAACTGCCCCGAGGCCAGGCCCCCCCACACCTGCTGGCTCGAGGTGCCAAGTGGGGGCAGGCTTTGCCTGTAGCCCTGGTGTCCAGCCTGGAGGCAGCAGGCCACCAGAGGAAGTATGAGGGGTCCCCGGCTGAGACCCAGTGCCCAGTGCTGCGTCCAGAGGAGCTGTTGGAGGCAGACACCCACCAGCGCTCCATCTCACCCTGGAGATACCGGTGAGGGCCTGGGGGTCCTGCTGTGGCATGGGGCTGCCCCTCCCTGGCGGGGCCCTGGCTGCCCGGAAAGCTCTGTGCACCTCGGTGGTTCTCACCTGTCGGGTGGGCATGGCCACCTGAGCTCATCCCTCCAGCCCTGCTGACCTGGGTGGCTGCTGCTGCTTTCCGCCATCCTCTGCCTGCCACTGTCCTTGGTGGCCAGGGTCCCCTGGGAAAATTCTGGGCCCCCCACCTGAGCTCCTGCAGAAGTGGGGCTGGGCGATGAAGTGGGAGAGAGGCTCCTGGAGGCCTCCAGCCTCTGTGGTGTGCTGTTGGATCCAGCATGTATGAGCTGGACTGCACGCCAAGCCCTCCCGACCCGTGTGGCTCATCCCTTACTGCCTCGGGTCCTGTCCAGAGCACACAGGGAGGGGCCCTGAGGGGAGAGGGGACTGAGGAGGTGAGGGTAGGGCCAGAGACTCACTGTGCCCCCAATCCCACAGCGTGGACACGGATGGGGACCGCTACCCGCAGAAGCTGGCCTTCGCCGAGTGCCTATGCGGAGGCTGCATCGACGCCCGGACGGGCCGAGAGACGGCCGCGCTCAACTCGGTGCGTCTTCTCCAGAGCCTGCTGGTGCTGCGCCGCCAGCCATGCTCCATCCACGGTGCGGGGCCCCCCACCCCTGGGGCCTTCGCCTTCCATGCCGAGTTCATCCGCGTGCCCATCGGCTGCACCTGCGTGCTTCCTCGGTCAGTGTGACCACCCAGGCCCTGGAGCCCCCAGACTGGACACGTGGGCACCCCCTATTTATGTGTATTTATTGTTATTTATACCCTGGGCCTGTGGGGGAGGCTGTGCTCCCCCCACACTGCCCTCGGGGTCCTGGGCAGGGACAGAGCTCTCAGCAGCTGGCGGATCAGGGAGACGGGCATCCTCCGGGTTTGGAGGGTGGCCCCCACCATTCTCCCCATCTCCAGCCTCAGTAGTTAGGACTCGAAGGAGCTCGGTGCCTCTTCTGGCCCTTAAAGCCACAGCCACAGAAAAGCTGTCTCATGGCCACCTGTACCATGGCCCCACCCCCCAGACTTCCCTCAGCCACCACTGGCCTCAGGCCCCCCGGCTCCCTCTTCCCAACCTCCCTGGAAGTTCCTCTGTTTCTTAAACAATTATTTAAGTGTACATGTATTATTAAACTGATGAACACATCCTCAGAGGCCCACATTCAGTGGGGACATTCTCCTGCTCACCCTGGCCCAGGCCAGCCACTGACCCAATTCTGGGGCATTCTTCCAGAAAGGTCTCTGCAGCAGTGATTGGTGCATGCAGGTGGGACTGAGCTCTAACACCGGGCAGCACAGGTGTCCCTGCTCTGCCCACGCATCGTCTCCCGGGGATACTCCAGGAACCGGGATGAGCCTCCTTCCCCCAAGCCAAGCCTTGAGCCCCATCCTTTGTAATAACGGGGAGCGCCTAGGGGCACCATCTCGGCCCTCACAGCAAGAGTCTCTGAGGATGAGCTGCCAGCACTGTTGGCTCCGGAGCCCAAGGCCATGGGCCCAAGGTTTCCTAGTGCAGATCAACAGCCAAAGCCAAGACGCCCTCCCTGAGGGAGAACTAGCCGCCCAGGGCCCAGGGTCTGTTGACTCTTTTTTTTTTGAGACGGAGTCTCACTGTGTTGCCCAGGCTTGAGTGCAGTGGCATGATCTTGGCTCGCTGCAACCTCCGCCTCCCGGGTTCAAGCAATTCTCTGTCTCAGCCTCCCGAGTAGCTGGGATTACAGGCACCTGCCACCACGCCCAGCTAATTTTTCTATTTTTAGTAGAGATGGGGTTTCAACAACTTGGCCAAGCTGGTCTTAAACTCCTGACCTTACGATCCACCTGCCTCGGCCTCCCAAAGTGCTGGGATTATAGGCGTGAGCACCGCGCGCCAGGCCCTCTGTTGGAGATTTTAGTTATGGGGTCCCAGAGAGAGCAGCCTCAGTCGCGGAAAGCGGGCCCAGGCCTGTGGCAGTCTCAGGCCTCAGTCTCTAGGCCCCCAGCCCTGAGGGCTGACATTGCTGTTGGGCCACTGGGCAGCTGTCAGCCCGACCCCCTGGCTCACCCACCTACTGTGTGCAGGGGCCTGAGGATGGGGGCAGGGGGGCTGCACAGAAGAACAAGGACTCCATTCAGGCCCCCAGAGGAGGAGGCCTCGGAAGACTTCCTGGAGGTGGTAGCCTTTGTCCAGGAGGTGAAATTTTCATTCAACACATTTATTGAGTTTCTTTCATTTTTTGAGACAGAGTCTCACTCTGTTGCCCAGGCAGGAGTACAGTGGTGTGACCAGCTCACTGCAACCCCAGCTCTGGGTTCAAGCGATTCTCCCACCTCACCCGCCCAGTACAGGTGTGCACCGCCACACCCAGCTAATTTTTGTATTTTTAGTAGAGACGGGGCTTCACCATGTTGGCCAGGCTGGTCTCCAACTCCCAAGCTTACATGATCCTCCCGCCTCAGCCTCCCACAGTGCATGAGCCCCCGTGCCCAGCTATACTGAGTTTCTACTAAGTGCCTGGCGCTGGGAACAAAAGGGACAAAACCCCTCCTACCCCCACGGTGACTGATGAGGCAGGTGGTATTTACTCTGTGAATGAGTCCAGGACAGAGGCTCTGGGGGAGGCTGCAGTTCCAAGCAGAGGCTCAGGGAGGCCTGGAGACCTGAAGGGGAGGAGGGCGCGGAACCAGGCAGCAGGTAAGGCCTGAGAAGGCGCATGCTGGGCGTGTCCAAGGGTCCGAGTGGCCAGTGTGGCCGACACCAGATGGGCAGCATGAGGGACCATGGGGGCAGGGCAGGGCGCTAGGGTGCAGCTCATGTCTGCCCTGGGGCCCTGAGAGGCTTGTGACTATCACTGGAGGCAGCTGAGCCTGTGGGTTCTAAGGCCGTGGGCTGAGCTGGAGGCACGGGGTGAGGCTTTGGGTTTGAACAGCAGCAACAGGATGATTTCAGGAGGTGAGGGCAGAGGAGTATGCAGCAGCAGGTGACATGGGTGGGGATGGCCCACAGGCCTGGGGTCTGGACTTGGGCCAGGATGGATGTGGGGGTGTGGGGGCGTCAAGGGTGGCCTGAAGCTTGCTGACCTGGGGAGATGGCTCACTGCGGCAAGGCTGGGTTGAGACGTCTGTATGGTGCTGACTGCAGGCTGCTGGGGGGTGAGCTGGGAACAGGAGAGGACCCTGGCTCTGAAGTGTGAGCTGCTGGGAAGCAGCTGGCAAGCAGGAGGCAAGGGTTTCTCTGACCTTGGGGGAGTCGGTGCCTCAGAGAGAGCCCAAGGGTGGGGGGGTGGCTGTGCCTGGCAAAGCTTTGGGGGCATCGGGCTAGGGAGGTGGTGAGATCAGTGGACAGGGGCAGGATTGTGTGCAGCCAGCCACAGCCACAGCCACAGCACAAGTGACGGGCGGGGGTGGCAAGAAGCCCCCTGCAACTTGGCCTGAGTGTCCTGGGCAGCTGGAGAGACGCCAACATCAATGTGGGGGCAAACAAGGGCGCATCTGCCACCAGCCTCACCCCACCTTCTACAGAAAAGAGGCTCCCGCCCTGTTCCCTCTTCACTGAAAGCCAGCCTCCTCTGGAATCCGACCCCCTTAGGGAGGCGTTGAGTGTGTCCAGAAATGTGGAAGGGCTGCGGGGCCTGGGAGACCGTCAAGGGAGGACTCCGCGGCCTCCCGCAGGCCTGGGACGACCTTTCCAGGGAGGCACACACCTGGAATCCAGGTACGGCAGGTCGTGGACTACACGGTACCCCGGGATTTCGTGTACTGCTGGGAAGGAAGGCGATGCTGATGCTAATGAAAATGGAACGCGGCACGGAGTCCCGCCGGGCAGGAAAGTGGGTGCCTGCGGGGCCCGGGCAGGAAAGTGGGTGCCTGCGGAGCCCAGGCAGCCTGGCCCCGCCCACCGACCCCGCCCACCGGCCCCGCCCACACAGGCTCAGACGCTCCGGGCTTCGCTGCGTTTATTGCGGGCGGGCGCCCCCTGGCGGGCGCGCGGGGCGAACGGGCAGGTCCGGGGCGCGGTCACACGATGTCGTCGGTCACCGGGATGGGGTTGACCTGGGGGCCCGCCGAGGGGCCCTCCGCCGCCGCCGCCTCCTCGCTGGGCTTCTTGCGGGCCTCGGCCGGAGGCCGCGGCGGGGGGTTGCTGGGCGGCTGCTTGATGGTGCCCCCGACCTGCGGCCGCTCCCGGGGCTTGGGCTCGATGGGCGTCCACTGCTCGCCGCGCACGGCCGCCTGCGGGGCACTGAGCGGTTGGGCCGCGCCCGGCGCCCTCCCTCCCTCCCTGGAGGCCCACCCCGCCAGGGGTCCCGGACAGGCTTCAGTCTGAATCCCAGGCCGGCCGGTGCGAGTGCCGCTCAGAGAGGTTAGGTGACGCGCCCGAGGACACACAGCCAGGACCTGGTCGGCCTGACATCAGCCCAAGCTTTGCTTCACGCCAGGAGCGCGGCGGAACCCCTGGGCTTCTGGAAGAGCCCCCTGGTGGCCACTCCCAGATGCAGATTCCAGCCCCCAGATTCTCCCAAGGCGCCCAGGGCAGGGGGGCAGGGAGGCAGGCCCGAGGTCCAGCAGGAGGGTGGCCCAGAAGAGCAAAGGCCCTGCCCTGTCTGGTGGGCGCCACCCACTGAGCCACCCTGGGCAGCAGCCTCCCCAAGGCATTTCTGCACATGGGGGTTTGGGGAGAGGGGGAAGAACAGGGATTCAACTGGCTTACTAAAAACACAGACTCCTGGGAGTGTGTGCTGTTCATCTCCTAGCCCACAGAAAATACAGTGGGAAAAAGATGTCACATTACACGCGGAAGGCATGCACAGAATCCTGCACACACACTAGAAGATGCACACCCGGGGGAAGCAGCTCCCTCTGCGGGCAGGAGGAACTTGGCGCTAGGGACAAAAGGAAATGAATGAGCAAAGTCCGAGGGCTCTGTCCACCCACAGACCCCGCAGTGAGGGGCGGCCTGCGGCCATGTGCTCCGGAGCCCAGGGCAGGCAGGGGCGCTGCGCCCTGGCCTCCCGCCCATCCCTATCTTCCTAGAAGGACCACTGTATCCCATGAGCAGCCTTCTAACAGGGTGTGGTTTTCACAAAGCAAACCCAGGTGTCGGCAGTTTAAAAAAATGTGTGCGTGACAGCGTGCGTTCTGGCACCGCCCACGAATCAGCTCAGACAGGGTTCAGGTGAGAAATGCCTGATAAGCGGACCCAAGCCCACACAGGGCCTTCAGCCGCGGTGTGACTCCAGGCCAGCTCCAGCACCTCTCTGAGCCTCTGCATCTTTGTCTGTAAAGCGGGGACCCCAGTACCCCTCCCAGGACTGTGCTGTGGGTTAATCAGCAGAGAAATGACCAGACACACAAGGTGTGCAGAGCAGCCGCTGCGGCGGTCACGTCCCGCCATGCTGTGAGCTCACGCCCCAGCTCACACTTGCTTTCAGGCTGGCTCAGCCTGCAGAGTCAGCTTCAAGGGCCATGCGTGTCTGAGGGTGTCAGGGCGGGGGCTGGGGCTGGGCGTGGCCAGAGCTGACCTCAGAGAGCACTACTCACCAGCAGGTAGATGCCGCTGGCGATGGCCAGGCAGGCGGTCCCGAGGATGGTGGCCAGCAGGAAGCCGGCAGGCACCGACAGCCTGGGGGGTGGTGGGCGGGAGGCAGGGACACAGAAGGGCACTCAGAGGGAGGAACGGAGCCCCAGGTATGGGGGCCAAGGCCACAAGGTCTCGGGACAAGACGGACCACAGACCAAGGGGACGTGCAGAGCCAGGGGCTTGTTTGGGTCCTGAGTGTTCTTGGCCTTGATGGGGACATGAGCGGCTCTGCACACTTGCTGGGAGGAAGCCCCCACAGCTGCAGGGCAGCCACATGCAGGTTTCCCAGCCTTGGCCGGCAGCGACCACCAGACACACGGCGTGGGACCTTCCACGCTACCAGGAAGCCCAGGCAAGACCCCCCAGCAGGGCCTGTGGGCCCCAGGCTATGCTGCTATGATCGGAGCTGCTCAGGTCTGGGAAGGATCCTTAGGGACCCCGCACACATGACAGCAGATGCAGGCTCCAGGGGCCCTGCCACACATGGGGACCCGAATTTTGGTTTAGAAAAATGTCCAGGTAAGTGGCAGTGGCTCCAGTCCAGGCAGCCCGGCAGGTGGCACAGTGGGGAGGTCTGCTCCAAACCGTCCTGAGCCCCAGAGGGGGTGCGGGGCGGGACTCACAGGAGGTGCAGGACGGCCCTGATGTAGTAATTCCTGGTGAGGGGCCCGAACAACTTCACCACGGCAGTCATGTACTTCTGCCCACTGTGGAAGGAGGAAGGGGGACAGTGCGGTGGGCCTCTCTCCTTCAGGACCGCTCCAGGGCACCCGGGCCTCTTTCCTCCCAGGAAACATGCCAGGCAGGCACGGGCCTTGGTTTGCCCACAAGGACCGAAGGGTCGGTTCCAGAGCCTCCCAGCGAGGAGCCAGACTCCACATACCCGACCCTGTGGGCCCTGCCTGGGCCCCACAGCCCTGGGACAGAACCCGGAGCATGCAGGAGGTGACTCACCAGCGCTCCATGGTGGAACCCTTCTTCCTCTTTCCGCGGGGGTACTCCAGCAGGCAGACAAACACGCCTGCCACACTGAAGCCATGTGGTTAAGGAGCAGCCCAGCTCAGCCTGAGGGGCCACAGAGCGAGCCCCTTTACTAAGACAGCATGGAGAGGGGCTGGGCACGGCGGCTCACGACTGGAATCCCAACACTGTGGGAGGCTGAGGCAGGAGGATTACTGGAGCCCAGGAGTTTGAGACCAGCCTGGGCAACACAGTGAGGCCCTCATCTCTACAAAAAATTTAAAAATTAGCCAGGTGCGGTGGCATGCGCCTGTGGTCCCGGACACACCAGAGGCTGAGGTGAGAGGGTTGCCCGAGCCCAGGTGGAGGCCGCCATGCGTCGTGATGGCACTGATGCACTCCAGCCTGGGGGACAGAGCGAGACCCTGTCTCAAAAAAAAGTGGGGGGAGGCAGCCACTGCCTGAGGTCACAGAGCAGGAAACAGCCAGGGGAGGTGCCAACAGGTCCGGGCACCTGAGCCTGGCCCACACCTGGCCTCATGCCACCCTGCCCACTGCTCCTTGTTGGGAGGTCTGGCAGGGCAGCAGGGCTGAGACGGGGCAGAGGAGGTGGAGGGGCTGGCCAAGGGGGATGACTGATGGGGATCCCAGCAGTCCAAGGGACGCTCCAGTGCTGGTCCGGGCCCTGGCCCTCAGGGGGCACCACCCGCCCACCCCTCACCAGGACTCAGGCTGGCAGATCTGCCACTGACCACCACATGGCCCAGGCGAGCGGCCTGGCTGATGAGGCCTGGGCTGCCCAACCCCTGGACAGCCCGCCCTGTCTGCCAGCCTGGCTGCAGTGCTGGAGAACAGAGGCAAAGCGCTCCCTGAAGTGGCTCCCCAGCTCTGCCCTGGGCATTCCCTGCCCACCCCCGCCTCGGGTGGAAGGATACATGGAGTAGGCTCCAAAGTACCACTGGGTGAAGCGCCCGGCGGTGGCCACAATGCCTCCAGTGATGAGGACTGCGGGGAGGGGAGTGGGTCAGGCACTGAGGGGCTCCCATCCCGGGGGCCTGGGCCACCCCCTTTCTCTACCATGGGCCACCAGACCACCAAGAACTGTCCTCTGCAGTCCATGTGTTTGTCCCTACAGATCCCCACAGCACAGCGACAGGGTCGGGGACACCGCAGGATGCAGCCTCCTGCGCTGGTGAAGAGCAGAGCTGGTGGCGCATGGCCTGGCGGAGTGGGGTGTGTGACGTGCCTGGGCTCCGAGGCCCAGGAGCGGCCAAGGGACGGCCCGACCTGCAGGCACCAGTGGGCCTGTGCCCCTGGGCTCTGGGAACCCCGAGTGGACATGCTTGTTACCGTGAGTCTTTGTTTGATGCAGGAAAGCCTATGTGCTGAGTGTGGTTTCTGCATCTTGGAGTGTCCCTGACAGAGTTCCTCCAAACCTGTCAGCTGTTGGCCTTAATTTCAGTTTCAACTGATAGGGCTATTTCTGCACCCTTCTTCTGGTTATTGTCCGATACTCCCTCTTACTGTTTTTTTTTTTTTTCTTTTGAGACAGAGTCTCACTCGGTCACCCAGGCTGGAGTTCGGTGGCTCTCCCAATCTTGACTCACTGCAACCTCCGCCTCCTGGGTTCCCGCAATTCTCCTGCCTCAGCCTCCCGAGTAGCTGGGACTACAGGCACGCACCATCACGCCTGGATAATTTTTGTATTTTTAGCAGAGACGGGGTTGCACCACATTGGCTAGGCTAGTCTTGAACGCCTGACCTCAGGTGATCCACCTGCCTTGGCCTCCCAAAGTGCTGGGATTACAGGCGTGGCCGCCTCGCCCTGCCAGCCATTGTTTTGGTCACCCCTTGAAGATTTGCTATCCGTGGTTTGAGCTCAGCTACACATTAACTCCCTGACTTTGCCCGTCTGCATCGGAGGAAGGCAGGGCAGTGTCCCTGAGTCCACTCAGCCTGTTGTCCGTGCGTCTTTGGGGGACTGTCCCGGTCCTGAGCCTGCCCTCCGAAAGAGGGTGCAAGGCTGCTGCTGGTGCCACCAGGGAGGCCTGAGGACATACTGTGGCACCCAGCCACATTTACAGAGCACCTGCTGTGTACAGGGACTCTGTCAAGGGCCCCGCTCTCTCAGGGCCAGCTGCCTCCTGGGGCTCCACGTTCTGGAGACCTCCCCAAGCAGGTGGCATTTGAGAAAGAAATGGGACAGCCATGAGGCTCTGCAGAGGCAGCAGCTTGTGCCAAGGCCCTGGGCATGCTTAGGAGATCTAGAACAGAAAGGAATCCCCGGCAGCTGGAGGAGGGAGTGGGGAGGCTGGGGTGGGCAGCGCAGGGCATCTAATCTGTCCGATCCGGCGCTTACCCTTTGGGCCAGGAGTCCTGCTGGTTTCAGCAGGGAAGCTGCCTGCACAGGACAGACTTAGAGCCCAGGTCTCCTGGATCCCAGCTGGGTGCCTCAGTCCCTCTACTTCTTGCAGGGAGTATGAGGCAGGCAGGGTGACAGTCCCATGGGGCGGCTCTGGGGAGAGCTGTCTGAACCGACCCACCCAGTTCTTGGTGGCTGACTCTGAGTGGGTGGTGACTTTGCTGGGCAGACAGTCGGCAGGTCCCTGAGCTCCAGGCCTCCCACCCTGCGGTCTCTGCTCCCCCTCACTCCCCAGACAAGAGAGGGCGCTCAGAGCCCCAGGGTAGTGGCAGCAGCAGGTCCCTCCTCACCCCCAGCCCCCGTGCCCTTCCCATGCACTCCTCCCCTGCTGCGGGTCCTTCCTGGAGCTGCTGCCCTGGTTCCTCCGGGCTTAGACCCCACCTGAGCCCACTCTCACCCACCCTGGTCCTGAGACGGTTTATTTCCAAATGGAGTCTGCTGCCCTTGGCAGCACGCCTGAGCAAATGCGCAGCAGGGTGCCATTCTACCCCAAGAGCAGCTGGACTGGGCTGGGCAGGGCGGTCACTGGTTTCCATGCCTTGGGAAATCCCAGGCCGACTCCAGATGAGGAGGGCTGGGCCCCGCGGCATGAAGAGCCCACCTTCCCACCCCAATCCCAGGGGGCCTGATCCCCAGCCCAGCTGGCTACTGAGGGGAGGGGAGCTTCTCCCGATATCCAGGCCAGAGCCCCCACTCGGGGGCCTGGGGGGATCGGTCACCCCGGAAACCACCGGGGCTGAACCGCCTCTTCCCCTGAGCCACAACTTCCTCCTTCGCAGAGTCGGGGAACGGAGGGAAGCGAATGGGGGAGGAGGCGCCGCTCCGCTGGGTCTGCAAGAGGACTGTTCAGGGTCTCGGAGCTCTTCCTTCCAGCTACGGCCTGAAGGTCCCGCCCCCGTTGCCCGCACCCTCCGGGCCTGACCCCATCCCAGCCCAGCCCGCCTGGTGCCCCACTTCCCTGCCCGGTAAGTAGCCCGAGGTCCCGGCTGGGGCCTCGGGACACCCCCAGGCTGCAGCCTCCACCGCCCCTGCCGCGCACTCACTCAGGCCGGACGCCAGCGCCTGCTCGTTGGCCCACATGGCCCACTCGATCTGCCCCATGGCTGCGCGGACCCGGCTGGGACACTGCTAGGCGCGCACTGCCGCCCCTGCGCTCCCGGCCGAGCCCCGCCCCGGCCCGGCCCCGCCCCCAGCCCCCCAGGTGACCGCGGGTGGGCGGAGACTCGCCACTGTAGGGTGCGGGGCTGTCCCGGAGCCTTCTGCCCCCGCACTCTCCAGACGCGACCGAGGCTGCGGAGGGGCTCTGCGTGGCAGCCCCAGCCCAGGCGGGGAGTCTGCGTTTCCCGGCTTCAGCTCTCCCGCACTGACTAGTGTCCCTGCCCAGCGCGGACTTCCAAGCTTTGTCGTGTCAACAAGCCTTATAGGAATAGCAGAGAAAGGTGTGGAGGGTCGGCTTCCTGAGCGGATCCGCCTCTCCACAGCCTTGGGGGGTGGGGGCCACCCCTACAGCCCAGGACCACCTCTGCACCGATGCTACCGGGGCCAAGGGTGGCCTCCCCGTGGCGGCCAGAGGCCCTGCCCCCATTTCTTCACCCTGGCTCTAGGCTGGCACAGGCGTGGCCTGAGTCTGACACTGGGCTTCCCCTCACCATCACTCGACTATGACTGAGACTCGGGGAGGGGACAGGATGTGCACAGGGACAGCCGCTCTGTCACATCCAGCCTCGGGATGGGAGGCAGGGGTTGGCCTAAGGGTGGGGAAAGGGCAGCAGACGTGGTAATGTTAAATGGGAGGTGGGCCCAGTGCCCATGGAAAGGGCACTATGGCTGCCTGAGGGTCCCACCTGAGCCAGTGTGGGGTTTGAGGGGAGCCTCCCGTGCCTCTACCCAGCCTGCTCCCCCAGGCCCTCATGGGGCACACCTGGACTCCCTGGCAAGTCCCAGGGCCCCTCAGAGCAGGAGCCCGGGAATGCTGGTTTAGGAAACAGGAGGACCTCACTGAATCTAAACAACAACAAAACAAGGAAAACAGCAGGAGGCAGAGGCTGCAATGCCAGTTTATTGCCACGGCCACTAGGGCCATGTTGGTGCCCACTCCTGCCACCATTCCAGCCACACCTGGGCAGGGTCTCAGCAGAGGTACCGTGGGCAGCCACCAGCCGAGATACTTCGTGGCTTCCTGAGGCCCGAGGTGGCTGCTCCAACAGACCCCTCCCCTGGCCCTGAGGGATGCCAAGTCCCTGCCGAGCTCCTGTCCCGGAGCAGTGGGAACGTCCGGAGTGAGGTGAGAAAGCCCTTCAGCCCTGCCGCACCCGGCTCTGCCAGCTTTCACCCCCCGACCCCATCCACATTGGTGAAGTGCTGGTGCAGCTCGGGGCAGCTGAGGCACGCGGCGGGGACCTCTCCTGACATCCGGCAGCCGAAGGTCTCCCCACACTGCCCCACGGCATGCTGCCCATGGGCCCAGAGCCAGGCCACCACACACAAGTCCCAGCGGTCCAGCCAGTCCACCACACCGGCTTTCTAGCTCCAGCGAGGACACCCCTTCTCCAGGCAGCGTGCGCTCCTGCGGAGGCGGTCAGGCAGCTAGCTTCGGCAGGCCATCAGGACCCAGGAGGTGGGTGCAGGGGTCATCCAAGATTTGAGGCCCCGGCCCCACCTGAAGGTAGAGATCCATGTCAGGTCACCAGCAATGGCAGCATGTCGCCCTGTGCCCCGGCACGTGTAGGGGCTGGATACAGGAGAGCAACAGTGTGCCCCGCCCTTCCGGTGGGTCCTGGCCAGAAGTTACACCACCCGAGTGACAGCCACACCCAGCTCCTGCAGGCACAGCTGCCCCTGCCAGCTAGAAGCCCTCTGCCTGGGGCACTGCCTCGGTCACTGGGTGGACAGGACCACAGTGCCTGAAGGCACATGGCCCTGTGCACGCAGCCCTTGAGAGGAAGGTGAAGGCCACGGCTCGGGCGGGCGTGATCCCGATGGGGGCTTGGCCCTCTGAGCAGATCAGAAAGCAGGAATCCTGGTCTACTGGGCCAGTTGGGGTGGGGGGAGCCCCAGGGAGAGAGGCTGTCCCCGGGACCCCAGCAGCACCATCCCAGGCACTCCCCACCTGTCTCCCTGGGAGCCTGCATCAGACTCATCCCTTCACCCCCAGCCTGGCCCAGTCCTGCTGCTCTGAGCCTCGCCAGTGGCCTGCAGCCTCCTCTTTGAGAACAAATGAATGAAACACAAGAGCCAAAGGCATTCTGGCTTCCTGCCTGAAACACGGGAGGGACAGGGAGCCGGGCTGAGCCTGGGCAGGACCCTCTGGCAGGAAAGGAAACCCCACAGGGTACTGGGCCTCACCTGAGTGGCGATGATGTACTTGATCCCACCGGGAGTCGGCTCCATGGCCAGCGCAGCTTCAAGCTCAGCAGGGAGAGGGGCCGGCCTCACCTGCAGCCCCTTCAGAAACCTGGAAAAGCAGGGCAGGGCATGGTAGACACGTGCATTTCTCTAAGTGTCTAGAACAGGCAAGGCCAGAGACAGGAACATATTCCTGACTGGCAGGGCCCAGGGAGGGGAGATGGCAGGTGGCTGCTATGGGGACAGGTTTCTTTAAGAGGGGATGGAAAAGCTAAGGAGGGGGCTCCACACCCCCTGTGAATGTCTCCACACCACGGGATGTGGGATCGTATGCTCTCGAGATGGAGCCTTGCTCCGCTGCCCAGGCTGGAGTGCAGTCACGTGACTTTGGCTCACTGCAACCTCTGCCTCCCAGGTTCAAGGAGTTCTCCTGACTCAGCCTCCGGAGAAGCTGGGACCACACGTGCCCACCACCATGCCCAGCTAATTTTTGAATCTTTCATAGAGACGAGTTTCACCATCTTGGCCAGGCTGGTCTTGAACTCCTGACCTCAGGTGATCCGCCTGCCTCAGCCTCCCACAGTGCTGGGATTACAGGTGTCAGTCACCGCGCCCGGCCTGAGACAGTAAATTTGAGGTTATGTGGTAAACAGCTATGCCCAGGCTGAGGCCGCTCTGAGGGGACCTTCAAGAGGCCTGGGTCCATGTCTGACCAAGGCTGCTGCCCAGCCCCATGGGGTAACAGCTTAGGGAAGTGCCCAGTTCAAGCTGGTGCACTTGTCATGGTGTTCTGCAGAACAGCAAAAGCCTGCACGCCCCACCCGGAGCAGGGTCACGGGCCTGGCACTGCCCAGGAAGGCAGTCCTGGGGTGTGGGTCTCAGTCCATCGTCTCACAGGGCAGGCCCCCCATCATCAGATGTCAATACTGCCTCCATCCAGGGCAGACACACATCCCCACAGGCTTCCAGACACCCTTCAGCGGGAGGCGCCCCTCACACTGAGAATGAGACCGAAAACCACGGGAGGAAGAAGCTGACTGCCCGTGGCTCGAGGAGGTGGCACTGAGCTACAAACAGGAGGGTGGACATGGGGGGTCCATGGTGCCAGGAGGCAGCTGCTGGACCCCACCCCAGAAAGAACACCCAACTGCAGGGAAGGGACAACACCGGCCGCCTGGACTGGCTCTGACTCATTTCAGTGAGGAGGAAGTCGGAGGCTTTGAACTCTTTCCTTCCAAATGTCAGACATGGGTACGTGCTCCTGGGAATGCACACGTGTTTCCTAAGAAGCCACTCTTTTACGGACTAGGGGCCTGCGGGCTCCCGAGCTGCAGGGGACCCCATCTCTCATGAGGTGGGAGACCCTGGGTGTCACGCACACAGGTGTGCGTGGCCTCGCTTTTTTCCTTGTGGACATGGACTGTGGGATGGCTCCATGGGGACACACTGAGTGGTCCCACACTTGGGGGAATGGACACCTGCCGTGGGATGCCCAGTGTCACAGACTTCAGCTGCCTCCATCCCTTCGGGAAGGATGTTCTGGGCACCATTTCCCAAAAAGGAGGAGGGGAGGGGTCCACACTCACGTGTCTCCGTTGGACCCCGGGGGAAAGGTGTGCCTTACAGCAGCCACAAATTCAGCCACGGTGTCCTCCAGGGTGAAGATCACGGCATTGGGGCCCGCATCAAAGGTGTACGCCACCTGGAACCCATTGCAGTCAACCTGCTGTGTGTGTGGTGCCTGGCCTTGTACCCCCAACCCTCTGGCCTGTCTGGAGGCTCTGGGGTCTCCAAGAGCTCAGTCTGGGCACTCAGGGCCACACTGGGGCGGAGCTGCGGCCCCAAGCATCTGTTACCTGACACCTCTGCCTGTGAACCCAGGAAAAAGGCAGTGGAGCTGTGAGCCAAGCAAGCCAAGAAACGAAACCCAAGAACCCACACGGTCGCTGAGCTTGGCACACAGCAGGGCAGAGCTTTCAGACAGACCCCCGTGCACGCCGATCTCAGGACCGCCTCCACGGCAGCACACGGCTAGACACGTGCTGCAGCCCTCCCAGCCTGAGTCACCTTGGTGTCCCCGTGGTGGGCGTTGAAGCGGTGCACCAGCTGGATGATGCGCCAGGAGACCTGGCTGAGGTAGGAGATGGGCGGGAAGGTGTCGAGGCAGGTGGCATGGAACTGGTTGCTGTCCTGCATGGTGAGCTGGGCGAAGCCCCGGAAGTCCCGCTCCTGGATGCAGCGGGTCATCTCCGCCATACGTGCGGGCACCACGGACTCGGCCCGGAACTGCAAGGCACGGGGTGTTTTCCACAGAGCCGCTGGGGCTCTCGACGGCACAGGGATTGGGGCAAGGCTCTGGGCGTGGAGGCCCGGCTCAAGCCCTGTCTCTGGGTTTGGCTCCTCCACCTGGTCTTAGCAAGAGGCTGAGGGCAGAGCCGGGCACAAGCGTGACCCCCACAGCCCCACGGTCACCTGCTCCCGGCCTCACCCGCAGCAGGGGGCTGGTCTTCACGCTGGCTTGCATGCCCACAGTGCTGCCCGTCAGCTTCTTCTCAGCGCTCACCTGCACGGGGAGACAACCCGGGCTACACCCTGCAGAGACCAGCCCCAGGGACTGCAGTTCCCGACACTCGGCCCTCCCTGGCTGATGCGGGCAGCGGGGGTGGGAGTCAGTGCCTCCTGCATGACCACAGCAGGGGTGCCGCATGGGAGCGCTTCCTGAACACACAGCCAAACAGTGGTTGCTTCAGCCCCCACCGACCCCAGGAGCCACGCGATGCCTGGATGGGATGCCTTCCCTCCCATTCCCAGCGGCAGCCCTGACTAGGGGAAGAAGGTGCCCGACTGGTGCTACACACCATCCGACTCACCACCAGGATAAGGACGCGGA